TGTCAAATTACAAAAAGCATTTTCTATTAATTCGGTAAATCGCGAAAACAATTGATTTATCTATGCTGTATTTATTGCAAAAATTATTATTATTATTTGCAAAACCAGTCATTGTTCTTAAGATAAGAATTGTTGAAGTTAATTTGCAATTATTACTGATTTATCAAAAAAAAATCACAAAAATCAATTTCTTGGAGAAATGTTCAACAATTATTAATAAAAGTATCTACATTACAATTAATAACTCCGTTTTGAAAAATCATACTTAGTTCTTGAGATACAAGTTATTAAAGCTAATTTAGCAAATTTTTCGAGCAACTTTAATAATTTTGGAAAAATCAATTTATTGGAAAATTGTTACGAAATTTTCAGCAATTATTAATTAGCCCTTAGATAGCTCTTTAAAAACAATGGATGAGGATGGTTGTGGGGGTGACGTTACAAAGGGATGGAGGAGCCGAGGGTGTGGAAATGGAGGAAGAGGGTAGAGGGTGAAAATAATATTTTAATAAGGTAAAGAATTGTAGACAGATTGTTGTATACAATAAACTCTTAATAAAAAAGATAGCTCTTTTAAGCCAATGTTCAGTACAGTGTTGGTTTTTGTATATTGTACATACATTTTTTTTTCTTTTTTGTTGTAAGTATTTTTATTTGTATTTGCTGTTGGCCTAAATAAATATTGTTCTGTCTCTATCAAGTTCTTGGAGAATTGTTACAGAATTTCCACCAATTATTAATTAAAGTATCTTACTTTACCATGAATTACTCCGCTTTGTAAAATCATTCTTGGTTCTTGAAACATGAACTGTTAAAGTTGATTTGCAAATTTTACTGATTTTTCGAGTAAGTTTAAAAACTTCAGAAAAAAAATCAATTCCTTGCAAAATTATTATGAAGTATTATCAATTATTAATGAAAGGATCTACTTCACAATGTCTCACTCGGTTTTGTAAAATCATTCGTGGTTCTTGAGATACAAACTTTTAAGTTAATTTGAAATTTGATTTGTATTGATTTTTCTAGTAAGCATACAAATTTCAGAAAAGAATCAATGTTTGGAAAATTATTATGAAGTATTTACCAATTATTAATTAAAGCATCTACTTTACAATGACTCTCTCCGTTTTGAAAAATCATTCATGATTCTTAAGATACAAACAGATGAAGTTAATTTGTAATTTTTATTCATTTTTCGAGTAAGTTTAAAAACTTCAGAAAAAGAAACCATTTCTTAGAAAAGTATTATGAAGTTTTAATCAAATATTAATTAAAGCATGTGCTTTACAATGGGTCACTCCGTTTTGTAAAATCATTCTTGGTTCTTGCGATACGAATTGTTGAAATTAAATTGCAATTTTTATTGATTTTTCAAGTAAGTTTCAAACTTCAGAAAAAAAAGTAAATTCTTTGCAAAATTATTATGAAGTTTAATCAATAATTAATTAAAAATCTATACACAACAGAAAAAGTACCTGAAGAATCCTGTAATCCTGTAATGTGCTGCTAAACTTTTGAGCTGTCGTCCAACTTATCGTCAAGAAACACAACCACAATTTCTGACTTTATTTCTTTAGCTGTTCTACTGGGGGCTGGGGAGTTTTTGGTACTGAACTGTTCTATCGCTCGGTCTGAATATATTTTTGCGCGAGAATAAAGAGAACAATTTTTAAGAGTGGGGATCTATTTCGAGTCCGGTCCATGTTGAACACATCAGTCATTTATTGTTAAGGGTCTGAAGTACAAGGGCGTGGTTATAAAACAGGGTGATTCAAAAAACCGCTGACAGACTTCTAGGGCAGGTAATACATCAAAAATTAAGATGCCTCCTTAACGAGATATAGCGGGTCAAAGTTTCTTTAAAATAAAACATTATCTGCAATAAAAAGCCCTTTTTTAAAAATATTTTCAACTCCACTGCTAATTTTGTCAAACGGGCAGTATTTTCGTGTAAAGTGATCAATTATCTATCAATTGGTCTCTTACAAATCTTTGATTACAGCAACAGCTTTTGATTGAATTAACAAATTTTCTACAAACGTGTTTTTCTTAAAAACTATTGCTTTCATCAAAGTTTTGTAAGATAATTGATCACTTTACACGCGTAGAGAACAATGGCGTAGACAATATTTTTAAAAAAGTGCCTTTTATAGCAGATAATGTTTAATTTTAAAGAAACTTTGATCCGCTATATCTCGTCAACGAGACATTTGCGACCCCATGTATATTAAGACTATTCATCTTAATTTTTCATGTATTATCTACTCCAGAAGTATGTCAGCGGTTTTTTGAATGACCCCGTATAACTCAACTCCTAACTCCTCATCAATTCAAATGTACATAGCTGTTTACTCGGTCAGAAGGGCTAATAAAACAGAGTCATCCACCCAACCAGTTAATAACTTCAAAAAATTAAATTTCTTGGAGAATTGTTATGAAAGTTTCACCAATTGTTAATTAAGAAATCTACTTTATAATGAATAACTCCGTTTTTAAAAATCACACTTGATTCTTGAGATGCAAGTTGTTAAAGTTAATTAATAATATCTACAGGTTTTTTGAGTAACTTTAACAATTTCTGAAAAATCAACTTCTTGAAAAATTGTTGTGAAATTTTCACCAATTATTAATGAATGCATCTACAGTGTGTTAATTAATTATCGTACCCGACGTCATCATTGCAAGTGGCACAGTGGTACTTTATAATTAAAATCTCCGTTTTGAAAAATCACACTTGATTCTTGAGATACAAGTTGTTAAAGTTAATTAATAATATTTACAGGTTTTTTGAGTAACTTTAACCATTTCTAGGAGAATTGCTATGACTTCCTTTGTTAGTAATTAGTAATTGACAATCGCAAACATAATTAGAGAAGTTTGTCATAATTTTCTTTATATTATTATAATAAATTAGTCTCTTACATGTGTGTCCAAGCAGTCCATTTGGAACTCTGTCTTCTGTTTGATTTTTTTCGGGAAAATTGTTTTCTGATTTTACCCATAATGACTATTGTAGAGTCACACTACTTAATTAAATAAAAGTCGTAATCACAAAACGTATGTATAACTGCATGGGCGTTATAAAATGTAATAAATAAGTTTAAATTTAAAAATGTTATGGATAAACCATTATCGTAGATAATTACACTTATAAGTTGCTAGTTTAAAAATAAATATTAATAATTTCCGTAATTGTTCACAATTGTTTATCTTTTTGTAGAGTTTTCATATCTAATCACATAATCAAATAATAACCGATTAATTAGACAAAAATAGTTTTTTTCATATATTTCTTTTCAAACTTTGGATTTCTTGAGAACACTGTTGTGACATCGTGAATTTTTCTCTACGTTTTCCACTATTAATCAGTTCTTTTGCTAACTCCTTGAGAAATTTTCCTTTTGTAACCTCTGTTTTCCAGTCTTCATTTAGATGAATCCATATAACGTTCAGAGCACTAATGTTTATGATGTTATAAAATACCACCACTAACCATTGTCTTTGACAGTATATTTATGGAAAAGCTGGTCCACAGTGCATTCACATTTTCTTTCTATTAAATTTGCTGAACATCTTGCACCTTCATCATTTTGAGAACAAAAGAAAATTTAGGTGGGACGTGGATGCGGTACTTGCTACTGAAATTTTTGAGGTCTTCTTAGCGGTAGACTTTTAAACATTAATCATCATCAAGACACTTTCAGTAGTCTCTGTTTCGGGCCATTGCAATCCAATTCGTTGTTATTCTTTTCAGGTCTTCTATCCATCCTCAGCCCTCCGTTGCCATTCCAGAATTTTCTTCGTCAACCTACCTATCTGTTAACTTGTCCAATCTCCATTTTAGCTTTGCGATACGCACGATGATGTCCTCTACGACCGTTCTTTTTCTCACTTCATCGTTATGGATCTGTCAACCTCAACATAGACCTCTCCAATCTGCGTTGTGTTACTTGCGGTTTTTTTTCATGTTCTTACCTTATCTTTAGAGTATTTCCAAGAATTTTAAGGTTTTAAGAATTTTCACTCAGTTTTTGAGACTTTAAAGAATTTTCGTGGATTTTTCAATCTTTTTCAAGAGGGTATAGAGTTTCTGAGATCTAGTCGAGATGTATAGATTTCCAAAACGATCCAAAACATTCAAAAGGTTAACAGACAATTTCCAAACATTTCAAAAAAATTTTCAAGAATTTCCAAGTGGGTTTGGTAACCATCTTGGCCAATTTTCTGCAGATGTTCTGATTATTTCAGATAATATAGATTTCCAAGACTATCCAAAAGTTTTAAAAGCTTAACAGACAATTTCTAAACATTTTCAGAAAATGTTCAAAAGTGTTCAAGAGTTTGCAAGTGATTTTGGTAATTATTTCAGCCATATTCGTATTTTCAAAGATTTTCTGATTATTTTAGATGGTATAGATTCCCAAGACGATCCAATTTACAGTAAATTTCCAAAATTATTTAGCAATTTCTAAGAATATAGTTACAATGAACAAGTAAATAAGTAAGTTGGTATTAATTTGCGTATTTTCAAACATTTGCAGATTATTTCAGAGAATGTCTAGAAGTTTTCTAATCATTTCGTGAGCATTTATAACGATTTTAAAATTTTTAAAACATCGCTAGTTATTTCTCCGTTTTATTTAGATGAATCAAGTCAATTTACATTAAATAAAATTTATCATATACATATATTACATTAAAAAAGTTTTGGAAGCAGTCCAAGTAAAATTATTATCTATCAAAGCTCCCTGTAATATTTACATATATCAAACGTTAACGAGATATTTATTATCAAACTGCATGGTAACATTTAAAACCGATAACACTGTTTATTTTAAATACCGGAAATATACAACGAGATTTTATATCAATATAAAATTATTTCTATTACGTCTTATATGCATAAATGTTTGTGAAGCGGCTTATTAAAGTATTAATTTGTTTATTAAACATTTTCTAAAAGTTGAAATACAAAAAAAATTAAAGCGACAATTTCTTACCATAAATCAGGATTCATTTTAAACGAAACGATTTATTAACCACAATCATTATTTCTTTGATATAACGAAAATCACCTGGCTATAACGATAGTTAACACGTTACTGCACTCAGTACCACTTGCGACTTGGGACAAAAATGCGTTTGTAAGCATTAAGAATAAACTAAAGTAGAGATTGCAGCGCAAGCATAAAAAGCAGAAATTGTGCGCAGGAAAAGGACGCAAATTGGTTCTGTCTTTTTCTCTTCCGTTTTTTAAGATTCTGTGAGAACAGAGCTAAATTTATAAAACTTTGATTTTAAAATATATAGATGTGTACACTTCAAATTGATTTTCTAATTATATTTTAATTATTTGTTTTTCTTAAACCGATTTGAATTAATTATATTTATTGTATAATATTGACAACATTATAATTCAATAAAGAAAGATAATATTAAGTTAAATAGCCGCGTATTTTTCTAATGGCTTTTCCATAAGATTTTTCAATGGAACACTCTGAAGCAAACCGATCCCAATTAAACAGAGTCGTAATCGTATCTTCTTAAAATAATATGATTTTTAAATAACATTTTATACAGTGTGTTGCGGTGACTCAGGGAATAAATGTAACCACATATACTAGAGTGGAAATGATGACGATTCATGTAAAAAGAAATTAGTAAAAATCCTCAAATTGCAAAGTACAGGCCATCAAAGTTAGGAAATTTTAATACATTTTTCTAAATATCTTAAACACTATTTAGGGTAAAGCGTTAAAATTTAGTACAGTGTAAACTAATATCACGTAAAATCATTAGGCAACAATGCTATACAGATGTTCCTAAAATTTCTTTACTCAAAACTTTTTTATTCTATCATAAACCTTACATTTATTTTTGCAGTTTCTAATAGTAAATTTAGTTTAGAAACTTTTATCATTCTTAGAGAATATTGATAAAAACCACCGTTTTCGTATTAAATGCAAAAATGTTAGGCTCCAAATTCAATAATGACCTATGAGTCGGATGATAACGTGGCTTCGATGCAGTCGCATCTTGATATCTTGGTGGAATGGTGCGATCGTAATCAGCTCTTCATCCTACTGTATAGGTGCAATCTCCCTGCTTAAATTAACTTCTGTCAGAGATCTGGGAGTAATTTTTCATAGCAGACTATCGTTTATACCGCACATAGAGGATGTCGCATCCTGTGCTGCGAGAATGCTTGGCTTTATGAAAACTTGAGATAAGACAGGCCAAGGTTAGCTCTTTTCGAATATGTAAACCGGAAATACAAGGGAAAAGTTTGTTGCACGATTGTACGAACGTGTGATTGAGATGTGTTATATACAGTTGAAAAGAGCGGAAAATTTCCTATGAGATGAATATAGTTCTAGAGTTTTCTCTCCGTCATATAAGAGAGTTATTGACCCAAACGTGGTTTAGCCGCGGCAAAAATTAGTGGTTTAGGTAGTTCTTAGTCAGAAAAAATGATTGTGCAAACGTGTGGTCGCGGTGTGTCACACACCGTTGGAAAGAGCAGGAAATTTTCCATAAGCTGAATATAGTTGTAGAGTTTTTTCCCTGTCAAATAGGAAAGTTATTAGTGGCTTTTTCAGGTGCGTTTTTCTTACAGACGCTGATAGATATTGGCGAACGAACACTCGGAATAGGATAGTCCTCTTTCCGGATATGTAAAGCATTTGTTGAATTTCCATCTGATAACGGCTGCACAAGGCCGTGAAGTTTGGTAATTTTGAGGTAATTTGAATGCAGTGAGACGTTTCTTATTTTTTGCTCTCATTATCAACATATCGGCGGACGAAAACTTGGTTTAGGACAGAGAAAAGACCAAGCTTTCCAACCGTGTGCTTAGTTTTATTTTAAGATATGGGCCCGAGAAATAGGTGGAAATATAAGAGAAAAAGTTAGTTGTTCACTAAGCGGTCACTAAGTTTCGTTTTCAAATGTGCCTTAAGACGACCTCGCGTCATTGATGCCAACAATCCTTGACCAACAATCAAGGATTGTTGGCATAAAAGACAAAAAGGTGACCGTTTATGGTGAACAGCGGGTATAAAACCAAATTTTAAGGGGACCATCTCTTTTACAATTTTTTTTAATGCGTCAAGCAGCCATTCTTTATAGATTTATTAATTAGATATACAGAAAGGCTTTGATTGGTGTAATTTTGATTCATTAAATTTAAAAATGCGCGGGAAGGAGTTATTTTAGAAAAAAAAAACAAATAAGACAAGATATAACTTGTAAGATACATTTTACTGTTAATTACATTTAGGAAAAATGCGTTTAATGTATGGAAACCCGAACGAAAATAAGTGAGTGATCACCTCTATTAACCGGTCCAACCAGCACACCAACCGATCGACCGAAAGAAAAGAAATAGAAAGAGTGCATCACATCTATGAAGCGAGAGGACCTATTTAAAAAAATATAAAATGTGTGGGAACCAACCGATTAACGAGTATCTGAGCGGATGGTTAAAAAGTGTAATTTCAACAAGAATTAACACGTTTAGTTTAAGCTAAAATAAAGTAGATATGAAATCGGTCCAATTTAAACAGAAGATTAAGATTTATGATGTAGAATAAGATTATGTACATATATCTACATAATATTCTTTATTACCACTTTGAGTATACAATTAAAACACAATAGCTATAATACCTATAGTTTATAGCGAAAATCGCGGTTAAGTCGAAAACGGCTTGGTGAATTTCAACGCGGTTTTAACCAAAATATGTCAAATAATTGTGTTTGTCGGATCTCGTTATCAGCTTTTCAAAGTTATGCCTATCTATTTTTTTAGAGCGATTTAAGCGAATTATAAATTACAAAGAATCAGAAATTAGCCATGCGGAAAGAAGATGTTTCTGTCCAGTTAGGATTGTGTGTGATCCAGACAGGACGTCACGCTTTTATTGTACCTACATATTGAAATAAAGGCGCGGCGTCCTACCTAGAACACACATCAGCACCATCTTTTTCGATTGGATGGAACCCCTCTCTCCCCGCATGCCTTATTACTATTTTTTTTAATTTATAATTCACGCAAATCGTTCTAAAAGAATAGGGCCGTTACGGTCAATCGATTAGAAAGACCGTCTTTAAAAAAATCGATAATGTAAATTAAATTAGACGGATTAGTAACGTTTTCACGTTCGAAAATTGTTTAATTTTTGCAATAATTAATGTAAAACTTTAAAATTCCCCACCCCTGATTCATTGTGACGTTTTAAGTAAGAAGAAAGAAATCACAGACGTGATTTCTCTCCCGTTTTATTCTGTTTTCTTCTAGCGCATAAGATTCGTAGCATTGTCTCTCTCCAGAAATTTTATTGATTTTTATACGCTCCAATCGTACGCTCAAATCTGAGTGACGCGCTACTAAATTCGCGGCCTGTAATTTCTAACTTTATTATTTTTTTTTGGAAAAACTAAGCCTCAGAATCAAAAATTAAAAAATATGGGGTCAATCAATTTTAAAAAACTTTCGAATGAGCCAATAAAAAAGAATACTTAACGGCCCTATTAGAGGGACAAACGTAATTATTTGCAATATTTCGGTTGAAACCGCGTAGAAATTCACCCAGTCACTTTCGACATAACCGCATCCTACTAAACCACGATTTTTCGCGAAGCTATAAAAAATATCGCAAAAATAAAATATGCCCCTCATGCACCTTTTCAAATTTAAAATTTTTTCGGCATATAGTTTTTGAGAAAAATAATCGCAAAGTGGACAAAGTTGCCGGAACCCTCAAAAATCGGGTACTTTTCTCATTTAATTTATCGGGTACGCAACCAAATCAGATGTGAATCAAATTCACATAATATATGTTATGTAGAAATGATCAGTGATTATAATAAACATTAACGCAATTTTTTTAATCTATCGGTTGCAAAGATATCGGTCTCTAAACTGAAGGGCCTTGACTTTTAGCGCTCATATTTCTTCTGAATGTGTTTTATTAATTTTTGGAGAAACTGCAATTTTAAAATTTTGTAAGCTATTTTATCTAATTTTTTTAAGACGTTTCTTAACAGCATTTATTTAAAAAGAACTTAATAGTGACAATAAATGAGTGAATACTGTACAACTTATTATTATTTTCACATAATACCATAATACCTTTTCTACCACTATATAGTTCTTTTTTTTTAACCAACAGTATTTTTGTTTTTTTTTGATTGTATCGTTCAATTAATTTTCATTTGATGAAACAATTGTTGATTTATTATCAGAATGTGCGGCGATTGCGATCTAAAACAACGTCTTTCTTATTAAATGTGCTTAATCACAATTTTTCAGCTATTTGTCTTACCGAGACTTAGTTAAATGAGTCAATTTATAATGCTGAAGTAATTGATTCTCGATACAATGTGTACAAAATTGATCGTAGGTATGGTATGGTTCCCTGGGTGGCGGTGTACTGCTGGCTATTAGCACAAAATTTTTATCATCTCAGATTCCGTTGGATACTGGTTTGGAGATTGTTACGGGCAGGACGCATTTCTTTAATGTTTCTATTATCTTTGTGGTGGTTTACATTAGGCCAGCTGGCGGTGTGGGGGTGTATCAAAAGTTTGCCGAGCTTATGAGTAATTTATATATGTCGCATGATGCGAAGTTTATAATTCTAGGTGATTTTAATTTGCCTTTGGTGAACGAGTCCAGCTCTGATTTTTTTGCTGTCAACAGTGTGAAATACAATGCAATTGGCGACTTTCTTTGTTTTTGCAATTGCAACTCGCACATCAGTATAATAGGGAAAAACCCTTGGATTTAGTTTTGTCAGATGTTGCGCTTGATGTTGGCCTTTTTGATTTACCATTTGAGGAGGAAGATCTTTACCACCCTTGTCTAGAAATTAAATTATCTTACAAATCCGCAAATAAATTAACTTTTAGAATGCGAATTTCATACTTTTTTTTTGAGTACGTATGTTAATGTGGATGGTGCAGTTGCTGAATTTTATGATATTCTATATGATATCTTAGCTGATTGTGTCCCGATAAGGCAAGTTGGGGCTCGTAAATATCCAGTGTGGTTTAATCAAGGTATAATAAAAGATATTAAGGCTAAGGATTTCCATTTTAAACACACAAAAGGTTCCACGTACCATTTGGATAAATATAGAG